GTATTTTATACTGTACCTTTTATCTGTCATTATTAGCTGTTACTAACGTATTCCGTTACTTTCTTTTCTCTGCAACTCTACTAAAATTTCAAGCAATCTGTTTTCTTCTCTTTGTAAATCAGTATATTCCTGAATAGCAGCTATTTTTTGGCTTTCTATGTTGTTGCTTTCCTTAATAGCAGTTGTAAGTCGAGTTATCACTTCTATTTGTTTCTTACTCTCAATCAGCTCTTTCCTCAATTCATATAACTGTTTCGATCTTCGTGCTTTTTGTGTTGTATTTTCATTCTGTTCATTATTTCTGCTTTGAGTAGAAGACTGTGAACAAGAACTATAACAAAGTAGAACATATTCAATAAAATTTGTATGGAAAGAATTATGCCTAAATCATCTTGGCGATTTATTAAATAAAATTTTATGTAAAACCAAACAGCAAAAAGTGTTTTAATTGATATCAGAAAACCTGCGTAAATATTCATTTTCATCGCACCTTGAGGATGCCGGAATGGATGGAATTTCAGGAATAGGAGTTTGATTGAGTGCAATCAGTGTGGATGAAAGTGAAGTTTCTTCTGTTGCAGGTATTAATGTATTTTGTTGTTCCTCTTCTCTTTCTCTTACTTCTGTTGTATGCATAGTGCAAACACTACTTTCTCTATAATTATTTTCAGACAAGTTTGTAGACGATAAAGAAGATATAGTATTGCCTATATTGATAGTTGCTTGGTGAGTCCAATTGAAAGTTTGTGGTATTTCTGTCAATTAAGAAACATAAAAATAAAATTACAAAAAGTAAAATAACTTAAACTGACTTTGGAAACATGACCCAAGTGCTTCTGAATATCATTTTTTGTTTTTTATCAAATATTAAATAAGAATAAAATATTTGGAAGTACTCGGGTAGTGTTTCTGAAAATAACATTGCAACCTTATTCTTTAAAATATATAAAAATATAAACAAAATTAGGCAGAATACATAATATTATAACACATTGTATGTCAATAAGCAAATTAATGTAAACAGATTTACACCAGGGTTACCACAAATTTTTTATCCCAAAATTCTCTGACTTTTCCTTGATTTCCAGACAGAATTTTATCTGACTTTTAATAACATTTTGAATTTTATTTATATTTTTGAAATTCGCATGTGTATAAGTATAAAATAGATATACTATACATG